GGAAGGTAGCTTGCTGGCAGCAAATACCCGTATGTCACTGTTTGGCCTATGTCACAGTTCCACGGCCCTCTACGTGATGCTGCGCTGGTGACCATGTTGGGTCCATATCAGACTCCTTCCCCACTGCTATGAGAGGAGACAGGAGATAAAGAGCAAAAATGTTGAGTCTGATAGCAGCCATGTTGTAACCTGTCAGTAGAGGGCCATTGCTATGCATGGCAGGACACGAGTCCTGAGTTGTGTCTGATAAGTGATAGCATTGGGTGTATAAATGTTCCAATTGATGTATACAGTACTCTGTCTTATGCACATATCAAAAGCCCTCAGATCTGTATGTGCGATGTCCCCTTCATTCATACTTTGTCGTCCTGTGGCCCTGCAATCATTATACCATAAAAGTCCCTGCCACTCTGACAGATTAAAAGTTGGTCTGTATTGGTGGCTACAAAATTGTATTTGTACCCAGCCTAGGGGATAGTAGCAGCTGCACTACTAGACACAAGTAACATAGATCAAAGTGCTCCTCTGCTGCCAATCAAAGATTGGCGGCTGTGTCACACAGGTCATTTGTCCCCAGTGGAAAAGACAGTCAATAATACCTGCAGACTCCAGGTACCATCCTACCAGAACCAGAGTGCTCATCTACTGCCAATCTTTGATTGGCAGCTCCCTCGCACTCATTTTTCCTGAACCAAGCTGAAGGACAGTCATCACAGAAAGGATACTCAAAGAGTACCCCAAGCAGCTGGGAGCAGAAACAAAATATATATTACACATGTACTAGTTTCAGTTTCTCAAGGGGACATATAGAGACCACTGAGCAGAAGAAATCAGGGTTCCAGAGGCAGCAGAGATTGAAAAAAACAGGCACAAGATGCCTGCCATCAAAGAGACTTGTATCATAGTCTCTGCCACCCACACATCGACTCAGACTACGTGCGTGAAAAACAATCAATGTTGAGACTAATTCCCACAGTAACAATCCATCAAACTATTCAGCAGTCAGTGTATTATTTCAGAACACAAGTGCAACATTCAAGAACCTCTTATAACCAACATAAGATCAATGTGTATGTACCAGTAATGATTGGATTAACAGGAAGCACATCCCACCAAGTTGACATGCTTCAACTGCTGCACGTCCTAGACTAATGAGCAAGTGGGCAACTATGACATCACTCAACTACAGAAATGCGCTTTCTGCAGTCAAGCTATGTCATAGTAAGCAGGAGCCAATGAGAAGCCAGATATCCCAACCGGCGCGGCACCACTGACTACAAACAGCCACAGAAGTCAATTCCCACGGTAACAACATGCCACACACGACAAAGTGCATGCAGCAAAGGAAGGAGATATGATTAAATGCTCAAAATATTCCAGTAGACGGATAACCCAAAAAAACCTCTTCGTAGAAGAAACCACAGAAATACACTGAAAACCCAGGACGAAAACGCAGTATTATTGAAAACAGAGACTACAAATCCGATTTTGTAGTCTTTTTGTAGTCTCCAATACAAGCGGACTTTAAAGCGGACATTAAACAGTGTAGTCAAGACTACAACCAAAAAGTCGCACGCATTCTCGGCATTGCGATTCCCACGGGGTACAACGTTCGGCACGCACCCAATTTTGCGGGTAAGGGCTCATCCTTCGTAAACTCAGGACTCGTAATATGTATTTGGCATTATTTGTTTCTTTTTTTCGCAGTTATGTCTCACTTTAGCCACTTATTCCACTTCATGCCTTGTGCCTTGGCGATTGGTTCTGACTTGTATATCTTTTGTCTTATATCATAATGGAGTTATTCTGTGTATATAAACCCCCCGAGGACGTGGGTGAATTCACAGCCACTCAAGGTCATGTGCGATAACTTACCATATTTGGTATGCTTTGAACCTTATTTCCTTTCTCTCATAGCGACTGGCATAATTTCTGGCGAGTGGCTGACAGTCTGGCGCGGGCGCTGGTGCATCGACATCTGATTGATAGGACGTGCATAGGAGAATATTGTGGAGCTCTTTGATATGCGGCTCCCAAAGTCCCGGTCATTGTTGCTCCTCGCCCGTTGATATTAAAACGGGTTCGCAATGAGGTGACAGACGGAGGGAGAGCCGAAGCACCCGGGACTATGACAGGTAGCGGTGGAGGGACTGGTGCAAAGACTAAGTATTGATGTATACTCTCCACCTGCTTTGTCACCGGACACCTTAGCACTTGTTGCTCGCCCCGCTGCCATAGTCTCTGTCGTAGCCAATTTCTAAAGACCGTTTTTTCTTCGGCAACTTTGAAACATCGATCAATCGTGAGAAGCATATCTTTCCGAGTTCACACTGGCTGAATCCCCTATACCAATTACCCTTAGGAAGATGGTTGTTGCAGTTCCAAATTGGGTTCGTAGTTCGTCGACGACCCCGATTTGCGCAGCCCATACACTCCGATCATCGTTATGGTCTATGAGTTGTTTCAGCGATGCTTGGAAGTGGGATGACCATGAGAGACATACGCAGAGGGTCATCAATATCATGCACGGCAAGGTCCCGACAAAATCTGACGAGGGTAAGCCAATAAATATATATGCATTGCATATGCAGTCCTCGCCTATGATAGCTCCTGGTAAAGATTACAGTGTAGGTATGTAACAGTCTGAAGAAAGAGAATCATACCGGATCCAGCGGGTGCCCCTGGCAATATAGACCGCAGTGCAGGGAATGCAAATAGAGTTCCGGCTGCCACAGTGAGGACAACTTGCGCCTGCATCATAGCGATGCGTAGCAACACAGCCATGCTCATCGCAGAGAGTCCTAGTGTCACGAGCCCTGAATACAATGAAAGCTGATTAGCAATGCACAGGAAAGTGGTCACAGGGAAGCCGGGCATACAGAGTGTGGCAACGAACGTCAAAGAGAATACACGAGTTGAAAGCGCCCGAGTGATTGTAAGCCTAGTCTCAAGCCAATTAGCATTTGCTGACGTCCCTGGTTTCACGGTGATCCTCGTGCTGTATCCCCTGTTGGCATCGTGAATGACAGTACACATCCACAGCCGAAGCAGTCATCGGTTTAACTAGTACTTACGCGGCGATTACGGCTATCCTTGCAATATTCACTGGGACAACCGCGCTGTTGTTGACAATTTCTGTAAATAAGAAGATATCCGCAAAGTACCTGCACCAGGTGTGGCGTTGGTTAACATGGCAGATATGGACCTTATGAGAGTCCGATTTACTTGTCAAGAGGATAGAATTCGGGGGTCGCATTCGGGTCTGCTTGGATCGCAATATCAGTCCGAAAGAAGGGGGAACTTCCATGGGGGTCCCGGTAACAAGCTTCAGTCATATTCATGCTAAACGCAGGAGCAGAAGGTCGATTGTCGGTTGGGCTCGAGGAGTCGGTTGAAGAGGATGGGAGCAAGAGATTTCTGAGGCAACGTGAGAAGCGAAGAGGCGTAAAGCAAGCATTGGAACACGCACTGGTCGAAGTACAGACCGATGGTCACATTCGGGTAGTCTCTGCAACTATCAAAGCCGACGTCCACATTCCATTGAATTGTCATGGATCCTGTATCGAGATCAATAGAGGCCAGCTGCGCTTCCAGAGATAACTGTAACAAAAGAGATTTCGTTAGCACTGCGACGAGACACTCGGGAATAGCTGCATACCCCGGATTCCGGGGTATGCGTAATGTTCTGGAGGGGATGCGGACGCAAAGTCCAGCCTAGCAGTATCAGGATTGTGGCAAAGGCCACGGTAGATATGACACAGACTAGGATTGGATGAGTATGAATGACTTCGATAGAGTGAGCGAGTGAGAATTTCTTCGTATTTATCCTCCCAGAAAGAGAATGGAATACTTTGGAGATATTTGCCCCACAGACACGGACATGACCCGCCACCCAACTTGACGTATTCGTCCACCAGCTGAACGTAGAGCTATCGTCGTTGGAGACATGGTGCCGTAACAGTGAGGCGATGCTTGCGTTCGGAATCTCGAATTGCTCGCCGTCAGCGGTACTCAGGGAGTATCCATCAACCTCAGCCTCGAGAGCCGAGGTTACAGCAATGTCCTTCTCGGCGGGCGTCTCCAGCGCAGGATGACCGGCCTTGCTTGCTCGGAGTGCCTTCCTCCTGCGGGCCTTACTGAGAGTAGGTTCATGCTCGAATGGGACGAATTCAGGATTAATTGCTCTGTTTGCATGTTCTACACGGTCCTTGAGGATAGCCGCGTCCCAAGCACGGCTGAGTTCTTCAGCGGGAACTGGCACCACCCTCGCAGAAGCGCGCGACTTGTTAGCTCCGAGCCCCTTGGTCTTTCTGGCCTTACTGATAACAGGATCCTGTGCGTACGGAAAGTATCCACGATCAACTGCTGTACTTCCGGGTCCTACGCCACACAGACAGTTTTCCGGGCGAGTCGTAACTCACCGTTGTGTCCTCATTGGCCGATCTCTTCCGTGTAGCAGGGTGGGGATTGTCAGGTCCCTCCGGCCTGTTGTCACTGGTCATGTTGCTACCATCCTCCCTGCTCGGGCGACGTCCAGAAACATCACCACTAAGTGGAGCCATGAGGTTCCTTAACCGACTCTCAAGATCTGTGCCAGTGTTCTATACCGCTGGAGTAGGGGAGTGAGCAAGGGTGAAAGGCAAGGGTGGAAAGCACGCAGAGGGACGTCCATCTACGTGTGAGGCCTTGAGGGGCTGGGCGATAGCGAGCATCGGGCTGTCCCGTTTTCGCCGACTACGGCCGTCCGACAAGCCGAGCAGGAATGCGCCGAGTATGTGGCTAGAATCAGATGCAGGCGGGCGCTCGCGGGCTTCGGAACCAAAATCAAGGGTACACTGACGCTGGTAGACGACACTGAGTATGTTCGAGCAAGCTGGTGCGTGTCAGGTGAGCGTTGATAGCATACCGAAAACTCTCCGTACAGCACAGTAGTACGACGGTCACGGTATCAGGTCCCTCTACTTAGGCCCAATGAGCGATGGCCCACACTTTATATGGGGGTTGCCGTGTTTGCAAGAACGTTGCACAAGCTCTGCGCGAGTCTGAAACTGCGCGGCATTCCTACATGCACACATCGCGAACGAGCGGAACGCACAGAATATACTGCATGTATATTTCAACACGAGTCGACAACCACCTAAGTGAATTCCGGTCCCAAATCCAGCGTCAAACCAAGATCGGGGCAGAGGCGCAGCGGGTCTGCTTACTACACGTACGTCCTCACTCCACTTGGATGCTATTCACCCGCTCAAGAGCTCTCGGAACACGGATCGCGCGCACCCGGGCATGCAATATCCCCTGGCGTCCTCGCTCGTCGCACTCGACCAGAGGTTCGGGTTATGGTACTCAGGCGGGGTCGGAGGGCGGAGGATGTAGGCGAGGAGGAAGGGAGAGGGCGAGGAGGCGTGTTCGCGTGTTCGGATGAGGGGATCGAAGGTTAGGAGGGTGAAGACGGTTTAGGGTGGTCGCGTAGAGGGTTTCTGTGGCGTGCAAGTGGGAAAAGGAGGAGAGGGGAAAGGGAGAAACTTGACGGGGGAGGATGGGAAGCGACACCGAAGAGTGTCCAGGGGAGGACTTGGAGAACGTGAAAGATGAGAAATGTCTCAGGATCGGCGTGGATGGGGATATGTCCGACACGAAACTTGCCGCACCCGCGTCATGCGATGAAGTGGATTACACCTAGAGCATGCCTGAGGTTTGCAGGAGAAATGCATACTGGTTAGGAAGGGCGCGGAGTGACAGTCCACGCAAGCTCGGTGGCAACGTGATGGGACTGCGTGGGCCGCATGACGGAATGGAGCAGCCTACATCCCGGACCCAAAATCATGCCATGAGCGTTAGGGGCAGAGGAGAAAGGCTTACGCGTACGACGCTCGTGACAGCGAGAAACCCAGGGTCACTGTTGTCACCCAGATATACTACTTGCACTGGATGCGCCGCGGCGGCGCGAGTCAGGCGGTGAGCACAATGCAGGATATGCATGCCAGGGTCGTCAAAGCTCGCACGCGTTGCGTGAGGTGAGAACAACGTGGGGGCGCGGCAAGATACGACCTACCCATGCAGGACAAGAAAGGACTCAGCTCGAGCATCATCTCGCGACATGACGGCCACGGTGGCATGTGAGATGCGATGCTGGGAGACACTCAGGGAGAGTGAAGCGGCGATCTGGCCTGGGGGGCTGACCGTGCAAGTCATGATCGACCCGTCGTAGAATTGGACTCCAGCAGCGTAGGGCTTGGTTCCCCCTCCATATAATCATGGAAGATGCGAGCACAAGAAGAAAAGATGCCCGTCCGCGGAGTCCATGACGACATGTCAATAAATGCAGAGTCAGATGGGGTCGATTCTTCAGCTCCTGAGGCCTGAGTAGCATCCCATGACTTGAAGAAACGGAACACTACAAGTGTTGCCTGAACTATGCCTGCTAAATCCAGCGACATAGGCATTCGTTGGAGCGATCGAATGACTGTCGAAGATGGCTGAGCCGCTGAGGAGGTGACGACTTCACGTTATTTTAAGCAACTGGTAGACAGCCCGCTTCTCCGCACGATAGACATATTTCCTGGTCCGGATTTTGGAGGTACTACATCTGTTGTGGCTAACTGGTCATTGGCTGGTGAAGTATTGCTTGAACCCGAAGAAGAGTCTGTAGAGCCTGCTGGGTGGGCTTGATCCTGGAAGACGTTCAACTCGAGCAGCGCGCTCTGATCAGATCCGGATGAAACGGAGGTCAATTACCACTTCTGGTAATCTTGAGATATTTACACCGACCTCCGTTCGAGCAGAGAGCGCGACGTTGGGTGTTGACCGTGGCCGTCACGGTCTGGCGATGATGATCCCCACGCCTCTGAGACGGGACTGAGTAAGTGGAGCCTTTGCCATTTATAGGGCGCCTATTTACTTCATATCCCAGAGTGCATAAGAAACTGAACATCGCATTTCCGCGCGCGTTGTTTGTCACATTATTGGGTACTTTCCAATAGAGCGTATTTGCAAGGCCCAAAGTACGACTTTTGATCCAAAATTTGGAGCTGCTGATCCAGAGGATTTAGCCGAGGGTTGCCGACATAAACCGGTAGCCCTTGCTCCACCCGTGCCGCGAAGTCGTCTGTGAAACTCATATTTCTCACTCACTCGACTTCATTCTTGTTCAACAAGCATCTACAGATACCTACGATACGCCTTGTACAACTTTTGCGGTAGTTAGACACGATTTAGAGGAAACCGAAAATCAGCCGTACTTCGCTGAGAGAGCGTGCCGCGCTGATCCGTGAGTCCTTCAGAAAAGTGGAGCACCTCTCTCCGCAAACTTTTGGGCCTTGCAAATACGCTCTAATAACCTAAATGCCTTTCTGAAGATCCCAGAGGAAAGCGGTGAGAAAGAATGACCCCTGGTAGCGATCTTCAGAAAACATATGAATTGTGACCGAAGTAGACGTGGCAAAGTAACCCTAACCCTTGCTTGCTGTGCGACATACCTTCCCTTTATGTACCGTCCCACGGGGGGGGTCCCCTGGAGACCCTTAACTGAGATTTGTGGCATGTGGTCTAAAATTTTATTTCTGTCCGCCCCTTGTCAGTTTCTTATGCAAGGCACTGTAGTGTCAAACAGCTTGACCGTAGCTGATGATTGACTCGGGATCTAGACGTTGTCAATGCGACCCGGAAAATGACCGGGCTTCGGAATTCATGTCTCCTCCGTTGTGAGCCTGAATCACGGTAATCATGTATGAACCCGGTGAGTCCCTCGTCGGAAGGTCTCCGGGTCGTATGCCGTCTGATCTATGGTCATGGTTCTGGAGTGGTGGCTCGTTGCATTCATAGACGAGCGCTGATCCATCCGAATGGAAGAAGTTTTCGCTCCACGCACGAATAATGAATCATGACGGTGAGTTGAAGGCATTTGGATGGATAGATGATCAGTCGACCTTCGATCATCACGCTGACCACGATAAATGCCCAGGATCTGGTCGGCTTTGGCCTCGCCCGCACCCTCCTGTGTTCCTATAGGATGGCCCACTTCTCATTCCAGCAGGTACGTTTTCTGGAGCTGGCGCGAGACATCCTGAACCCGACATATGTACTTTTCAGTCGAACATCCTATGGTTATGGGTACGTAGTATAGCAATCCGCTCTTGTACCTTCACGTTCACCGAGAACAACACTCCAGCTAAGCAGCATTTTATATGGTAGACACCATCTTCTTCCTGTTCATAATGCGCTGATATAGTGCTTTTAGGAACATACGTGACCCTGTTCATCGGATGCATCCGCGTACTCGTTACTCGCAAGCCGTCCTCGTATATGACGAACAGGATGCTACTCTTGATTATGATTGTACTGTTCCTGCTGTCTACGGCTGAAGCCGTGGTGGTCTTCCTCGGTACTTTCCTCAGCACGGATATTGTGCAGGATGCGGCGTACCCTGGGGAAACTCTGCAGGCACTCCGGGAGAAGGACACGTCTAATATGCTGCTGTCTGTTCTTGACGCCATCATCGCCACCAATAAGTTGAGTTACGGAAGTGCGTCTGAGACATGAAGCTTACTGGAATGTAGCATTCTCACTGACGGCCTGCTGGTACGCTAATTTGCTACAAATCGTCCTGGCTACCGTTTAGGATAACCAGATATGGCGCTCGTTCACGGTGTGGAATGGACGGTTCGCGGTCACGCTCGTTCCTCTGGCTGGGTTGACTTTTGCATCAAGTCAGTATGCCACACGGCTATACCCTTTGCTTAGTCGCGCCATATTCACAATCTCGAAGCCTGCGGCTACCTTCTGGTATATGCCGACATATGTGCATACAATGTCCGGCTCCATGCACCCCTGTTAGAGTCTGCGCCTCCGCCTCGGTTTATTCGACTCTATGCAGCTGAAGAGAACTTACGAGCAGCGTACTATTCCACAATCCTTGCTACAAATATTTTCTTGACGGTGTCAATCGGTAAAGCCTTCTCTCTTCTTTTACCGATCCAAGTCAATCCATAGTTGGGTGCTGATTGTGGCTCGTCTCAGCCGGCAGAGTATGCTGGCTAAACCGCAGAATCCAGGCACAACTCGGGCAGAGAGTAAGGAATCAATATAAGCACGTCGCCGTTCTGATGTACGTGTCATGATCTATATCTTGTTTCTCTGTGTATCTTCCCGTGTTTGAGTTCTTAGTATCGAGTCCGGTGCAATTTACTCGATCTGTCTGGTCGCCTCTGTTATCACTCTGGGGCCGGGACGGCAGAGCGGTCTACTTGAAGGAGTGAGTCCTGTTTCCGCCAACATCAGCGTTGCTGATTGATATATGAAGACGGCCATATTGACTTTCTCGATGCTGCCTAACATGGTCGCAGTTGAGTTCCTCTCTAATGACCGCGGACTGCAGCTGAACGTCCCCGTAGAGCATTGTCCCTACGCTTCTGATAGTCTTGATTTGTTCTGGCAAAGCAACTGATCCCACCCTTTCTATATCCGCCAGAGACTGTGGAGGAGTAATAGGGCCCGCACCGCCTCTGGGGTCCGAGAGTGTGGATGGCCCGGTCCTCGATATCACTGGAGATAATGTACTCGCACAGAGTGAAAAGCAGAGAGAGAGAGAGTAGATGTATCCCAACCGCAGTTACGGACAGCTCTTCCTCAATATAATGCTCGTCCTAGTGTCTCGCTACTATGTAAGCAGTACTAGTGTCTTTTCATGCTTCAGTATGCTGTGCAGAGTGGGCGTAGATGCCATTGAACAGAGGCCCTCTTCAAAGCATGCCGACTGGCTCATACACGCGAAAACTCCACGTAACGTTCCGACCAGGCTAGCTGCCCAAGTCGCACCTGGACAGTCGTCAGATCGGGGAGGTGAAAGGCAAGACGCCACATACGTTCAGGTACCAGCTCTCGTCGTCGGGGAAGACCGGCAAAGCATTGGGAGCGCCCTTTAATGGCGCTCGATTTCGCTTTTGATCGCCTGAGTATAGGAACTGGACGATCACAGGACTACGCCACACTTACGTGCGGTATTATGGTGTGCGTTTCCCTCATGCAAAGTTTCATCTTCTTGAGTACAATATCGGTACCCTGCGCCCTCAAATATTTTTTGAATGGGACCCAATTGTCGTAGATGGGTTCGAGGTACTGCCGGTACTGCATAGCTGTGAAGATAGCTAACCTGTCTATACCTCCCTGTAATAAATCTATTCAAGGACGCCATCAGAGTTATGGTTGAGTTGGATGGCAAAGCGCATACCTTGGGTTCTTGGAACGGGTAGCTCGAGACGAAGTCAGTAATATTGAATCTCCGGTGGGAATATATGTTACCCTGTTGCGTTCGTGCAAACGTTTGATGAGATTGTGGACGACGTTCTTGCCAGCGGTGACAGGGTCACCTCCTTTCTGTCGAGTACGCCAATTCATGAAGTAGGCGATAATAGTCGAGGTCTTACTGTCCCTCAACAGGGGACCCCAGTCTTCGAGAACCCGGCGCACGCCTACGTATTCAATGTCCATTATGTTCGATACTTCGATGCGGTCGAAGAAAATATGTGGCGGTATCCCAGCGCTGGCGAGAGCATTTGCTTTGATGCTCTCCGCAAAATCTCGAACGTCACGGTTGAAGACGTGGAACGAGATGTTGAATCGCCGGAGGCGCCGAGCAAATATGCGCAATTGGTCCGACAAAAAGAAGTACAGACAGCCGTAGATGTCTGCTCGCTGAGCACCATGTCTTCTGCCGCATTCGATAACGGATTTCAAGCTGTAAATAACGGTCAGGACGGCACATCCGTGCTATAAGTCACGTACTCCCAGGATTCTAAAGGCGTCACGTGGTCATTTTGTAACCATACACCCTTGTGCGAGAATAGAGACCGATTGGGCGTGTTAAATTGGGCGTTGAGAGCGCCAAAAGGGAGAACAAGGCCAAATGACCGATATTGTTTCAAGGAGACACGGTGAGCAGGCTCGATCTGGCAGTACAGACGCTCATGGTAATCCTGCCTTGATTCCGCGAATCTGTACGACGGGAGTACGAGTATCCATCAGTGGAAGTGATAAGTCACTGGCCTTGGGGTACATACCGGACACGCTGATACTCATAATGTGCATCCTCCACAGAGTATGTTGATTCCAACATTCCAACCATGTAGAAGGCCATGTCTTGGGGAACGTCAAAGGACATGCTGGACGTGCTCCCGAAAGGAAGACGGTACTCCGACAGCTGCAACAGAATCTGCTCGATAAGTGGCTTGATGGCGACGCCGATTCGGAGACTATATTCGATAGGAAGAAAAACCGAGTACCAGAAATGGAGCGCGAGCTCCGCAGCAACAACGTCGTCATCGATGGTACCCAGGAGGCACAGGAGGATAAGGTTACGCATCGTTACGGCAGGGTCGCGATCATTGAGAACGATACTCATTTGCCCTGCGTAGTCTTGCGGAAGGTCGTTCACGGTCTGCACCACGTTCCTGAGATCTCCGGAAGCTGCGGGGAATTTACTTGCTGTATACAAAAGAGAAGCAGCATTGCTCACCGACACAAGCCAACGTAAGATCGGTGTCACGATTCTTCTCGTTCTGTTCGAGATTGACCAAATCTATGGCTGGCATATTACCCCATCTAGCGACTCGGAGTTAATGTAGAAATGCGACGAGAGAGACGATTAAGAATACAGATGTAGGCCCGTCGCTAACCGCTCTTTTGTCATGGGGCTCGATGCAGATCCATCATTATCTGACGAGATGAAAGAGGGAAGCCGACGCTCGCGCTCCCAGACAGGCTTCCAATCGCTTGCCATGAGCGGATCCTTGCAGTCTGGTCATCTCAGTGTCAGCCGCCACACTACATCAGCCATGGCAACAATTCAACGTACCTGTCTTGTGAGTGGACCAATGCTTCTTTTGACATGCCTAGCCACGCATACTATCACTTCTACGCAATCGCGAGGCAAGCTCTATAACCGCTGCTTACCTGAGAGCAATATGACACAAGTTTGCATCTGCTGCACGCCAACCGGCCTTCATTGCGACAATGTTTGTGCTCCGCGGGCTCTACGTTCGCGCAGAGCAGTTTATCGGAGCGTATAGCAAGCACTTCGGCAGACGAGTTGACGATCCAGTCGTCCAGCCGATCTTGGGACGTGGGCAGCGTGCCATCACCCAGAGCCGGTTGGTCGGCGGACTGCGACATATCCATGCCCGAGAGTAACGATGCAAGGGCATCCATTGACGATACAGTGGATATATAACGCCGTCTTATATGAAACCTCGATGTTTGCCTCGCGGTTGCAGCTTGGCGATACTTCGCCCGAGAACTGTGGTCGATAATCGGATATAGATGTTCCATTGCCACTAGTGAGACCTTCGAGAAGGACCGGAACAGAAATGAAAGAGAATAATATCATGCATGATTCACCACCTGGATGCACTATATGATGAAGGGAATCACGGCAGAACCGTATGCTTTTCGATGGCCATACATTCCGACAGCGCAGTTTGGGTATGCGCTGACGGCTGCTGTGGATTACATGACAGAGTGTTTCTAGCTCAAAGGATGTTGTGCAAGCGACTTACACAATCAGTCCATGCATTACATTTTACGTCGAATGCTATATCCAGGATCGATCGGAACGAAAAGCACGGCCAGCGGTCAAGGCTATGGCAGACCCAAAAGCATTCGAATCCGGTCCACAGTAATATCCCGTATCCCTGAGAATACACCTAATGATGGCGCGTCAGTTTCGACGTCAACATGCAAGCGATAGTTTCCGCAGTACCTCATGCAGACCTAGTCGCTTGCCTACTGACGGGAAAACTCCACGTAACGTTCAGACCATGTAAGCTGTCCGAATCTCGCCTAAGATAAACCGCAATGGTTGATTTTCTCTGCAGGAGCGGAGGAACGCAACATACATGGAGGTACCAGCTCTCATCGTCTGGAAACAGGGGGAGAGCATTAGGAGCTCCACCCAATGGTGCCCGATTGCGCTATGCATTCACTTAGACATCGAGGCCCAGAAAAATACTCCACACAGGTTCACTCACATGTGGGACAATGGTGTGGATTCTTTTCATACGGAGGTTGGTCTTCCTGAGAATGTCGTCGACGGCGTGAGATTTCAAGAAATTCTGAAATGCCGGCCAATTGTCGTAGACCAGTGCAAAGCTTTGCATCGATATTAGAACGGCACTGTTGAACACATTCCCCTGCAGAATATCTATAAGTCAAGGAAACAATGTGTTAATATGAGCGTGTTTGAGAGGGAAAGGAAGGACGACACTTATACCTTGCAGCATGGGTTGCGGCAGCTCCGAATGAAGTTAGCATACCGAAAGCATCAAAGTCGAGCGACTCACTCTACCCGCCCCTGCGAGCCGTTGCCGAAGATCATCCCGGATGTGACGCGCAGCGTTTAATGGATTTACTTCCTTCTCTCCAGCTGGCCAGTTCATGAAGTGCCCGATGATAGTGGCGGTCGGAGTGTCGCTCAAGAGGGGAGCCCAGTCTTGGAGGACTCGACGAACGCCGAGGTACGGGTCATCCATGATATTCGAGGCTTCGATTCTGTCGAAGCGCACGGCCTTCGAAACCCCGGAACTGGCGAGCGCGTCAAGTTTAACGAGCGTCGCAAGTTCCGACGCATCGTGGTTGTAGACGTGGAAGGAAATCTGGAACTGTCGCAGACGTCGAGCGAACTTGCGGAGTTCATCTGTGAGGAAGAAGTACAGACAACCAAAGAGATCACTGCGTTGTGCGCCACGTTGCTTGCCTACGCCAATAATAGACTCTATGCTAGACGACGGATAAGAAGGTGCCAAAAAAGGGAGGTTGTTAGCGCACATACTCCCAAGATTCCAGCGGAATATTATGATCATTCTGCAGCCATTTGCCGTTCGGTGAAAAAAGCGAGCGGTTGGGTACGTTGAAATGAGCATGCAAAGCACCAAATGGGAGAACCAAGCCGGAGACGCGGTATTCCTCTAGTGCAACTCGGTGCGATGGCTCAATAACGCTATATGCTCGGTCATGATAGTCCATTCTTGATGGAGCAAATCTTGACAGACATATGCGGGTGAATGGTATGAGTGGTGCATTTGGCATCTAAAAAAATCAGAGACGTACTTAACCCTCCGATATTCGTCCACAGCCTCCGACATTGCATACGGCGACTTCAGCATTTGGTACATGAAAAGGCCCGTTTCCTCCGGAACATCGAACATCAAGATAGATCGGCCACTCAGCTGAAGCATGCCGGAAGGCTGGGAGAGGAGCCGCTGCATCAGCGGCTGTACGGTGGACATGATGTGGAGGCTGTATTCAACCGGGAGGAAAGCCGAGTACCAAAAATGTAGCGCAAGCTCCGCAGCGCGGACCTCGTCCTCGATGGTGCCAAGCAAGGTCAAGAGAATCAAGTTGCGAATTGTTACGGCGATGTTATGCTCATTCAGGACGATTGTCAACTTTCCGGAGTAATCCTCCGGCAGGTCGTTCACGGTGCGGACCACGTTTCTGAGATCTCCGGAAGCTCGAATGGCACATGAGGATCGAGAGGTAGATGATGAAAAACTTTGCATACCGATAAAAGCTAGAGAAATATTTGCTCGAGGGTCCTTCTCGTTCTTCTCCAGATTCACCACGTCGATGGCCGGGACATTGCCCCATCTATACATGCGAAGCTAAGTGAGACCAGAGCAATGCAGAGGAAATAAAGTATGCATACAGGTAGAGACCTAAATCGAGAGGTCCCTTCACTAGAGAATCCACAGTCGGGTCGTCGTCGTCACATGCAAAAACCGGTCTTCGACGCTCGCGTGCCCAGATCGGCTTCCAGTCGGGCGACATGAGATGTCCCTTGCAATCTTTGTCGTCTCAGGTCCAGACGTAGAGCGGGGTTGCGAGGCGACTGGAACATACCTGCTTTATGGATCTTCCAATGACCCCGCTGGCACTCCTGTTCGCGATTAACGGTACAAAGGGAAGTCGGCGAGGATACAGTAACGGCGCACCTTGGAACAGTACGACACCAGTTTGCACCTGCTGCACGCCATCGTACCCTCGCCCGGGCAGTGCGACCTGTTTTCCACGTCGACGTTCGCACAGGGAAGCCTGTCCGACCGGAGCTTTGATACATCCCTCATGATCCAGTCCTCTAAATGATCTTTGGCCGTGGGCAGGGTGAGATCAACAGGGGTCCTGTTCAACATCTTCCACATCATGCTGGAACCTTTCATTGCGCGGTCCATGGGCGACATTGTGGGCCAATCGAGGTCCACGCCCCACGGCAATGCAATACCTGCCTCGCATTCTGACTTAGTATCGCCTGGAGCGTACAATCGTACGACTGCGCCGAGCAAGGTATTGGTATCGAGACGAGGTGCCGTCATTGTCGACAGCGGCGATAGACACCGCGCGGGAAGGTACAAGATACGATGGCAGAGTGTGCACCCAGCATATAAGTGCTGGTGACGGCCGATACAGATGCCTCATGCTTCCAGCGTGGCCGTCCTTCCTTCATAGAGTACGGTTAATAACTGGATTTGGGTCGCCTCGCTGCGAGTCATGGGTAAAGGTCAGAACGCGAATAGGAAGTCATACTTCGGAGAAGGAGTGTGACCACGGCGTCACCTTCCATCGATGCAGGGTATCTCCAATTCAGTAGGGGGGAGTCAGCCGGCTTGCCAGAGGAGAACCTTGATCATCGAACCTACTGAACGCTCGCACGGATATCACTACGCACCGATAGCTCGATATAATCATGCGGACATCTCTCGTGAGAGAACCGGGGAGGGGCTATCCCCTCTGATGCACTGCGACGACGATAGCGCGGCCTCGATCGCAAGTTCTGTACCTTCGATGCTTCCTCAGACGTCCATTAAATGAAGGCAAGAACGTCAACACGCCCAAGACCCGGCTCCCGAGATCATCCGCGAGCCCCATGCATTCCTAGCCCCTAGCAAGGTTGTACGGCAGGAGCCAGAGCGAGCCGTTGCGTCAAGAGTTCCCAATGTGCCTAGTACCTATTCAGGCACAGGGTCTAGGTGGGTTATGGAAAACAAGAATTTCCCGACGAGGATGCCTTCACGTATCAAGGTAATTCAAGCCTTTCGGAGGGACATGGAGAAACACAGTGTTCCTTCCGTATCGCAGGCATTGGGACGAGAGGAGCGAAAGGCAGGCGTACCCGGAATCAGTGCGTATATGCCAGCTCTGGGGTCTCCCCAAGGAATGTGCGTGTCTGGGGAAGGCTAAGCAAAAGGGAGTCAGTCCAGAATGAGAGGTAGAGGGACTCATGGAGGATGCGAGCGCGTATCGGTGCTCGATGAGATAGCAAGAGCACTGGTGCATGGGCTATGTGCAATCACCAGACGCACTTCGTGAACCGTCTATGAATACAGCCCACTGTGGCGACTGGAGCGCACGACCAGGGTCAGGCGTTAACGGCGGCACTCAGTGATCGCAGATACTGGCAGAAGTTACTGGATTCGACAAAAGCACATTACGCGCAAAATACAATAGAGAACGCCCCGACAACCTAAACACGAGCACCGGCATTCCCCCTACGAACGCACCCGTCAGCAATGTACCAAACTCTGAATCAGAACCGACCACACACCGATTGACGGTCGCAAACTTATGCATGTCATCCCTCCATTTCAGCGCGTCGCTCTCGCCATTTAACACACCAATACACTCCCGCGCCAGCCGCTCCTCCAAATTCCGTCCTGGTTTCGAGTTGCTCGCCTTGAGTATCCACTCCACCCCATAGTGTACGCGCTGCTTCTCCGTGAGCGGCACGGGCTTGAAAATCACCTTCGCTCCGGTCTTGTGGTTCAGCGTGCGCACAGCGGGGCACGCAGCCAGGATGGCCTGGCGCAGGAGCGGGAGCGGCTCCGCGCGCGTGAACGTGTGCAGGTACAGCAGCGTCCGGGCGGTGATACGAGAGGCCTTCTGCCGCCGGCCGTGCTTCATGATAGTAGATGTTAGATAGTGCAGCAGCGGGTCCTGCGCTGGCGGGATATTGACGAAGGCGGGGAGTGTCGAGGAAGACGCGCGTGCTAGGAGGGGCACCGGGGGCGCGGGAGCGGACATGGGGAGCAGCCCGTCCGAGCTGCCCAGAAGGTCGTTAATGGTGGACGCCGCCTTTTTGAGAGCCGCATCGTCGGAGGGGGTTGAGTCGGGTAATGGTGGAAGGGTGGCCATCGTCCGCGTATGACGCTGCGCGAGGACAGAAGCGGAAGATCGTAGTCGGGCGAGCATGGCTATAATGTATGTAACCCGCCGGCAGAACGGAGATGTGGCTGAGACAGCTGCAGCGGACTGACTGCGTCAAGTTGAACGGAGGCGAGTGCCAGTGGAAATATCCCGCAATGACCATATATGGTAATCGCCCTCCGTTTACTCCGAATGCGATCAAAGCGGGTTAAGTACTGTCAGTACACGACGGCCTGCACCGTGCACGTCTTTGCTCAGTATCTATTTTTCTCCCTGTGAAGCTGAGGGATAGGCACTATGGATTTCATTGCATGTTCTCGCTTGTCTCTGTGTCCTCCAGCGCAGGAAGAGGTAATCCTCCCTTTCGCTAATTGAGCGTACGAGCGAGGCCCATCCGCTAGTGATGGCGGGATTCTTGTGCTCGCCAATATCCTGTCAAAGCGTGATTTACGTGGGCCTCTGTGAAATATGCAGATGGCCCTTCGAATCGGAGGGATGGGGACTGCACACTTCCAGCAATTTTACGATGCGTAAATGTTGCGCCAACCCCATACTCCTCCGTTTCCGTCTCTCTCTCTCTACAGACGAGCGTGGCATCCTCTTGTCTGTGAATAGCTTGTACACGCCCATTAAGAGGACGTCATACCCTGCTCTGCCCGCGTCCGCGCTGACAATACCGACCACCGTCAGCCGCCCAGGCCAAATCACCACAACTCGTGCTGGTTAAGTTATTCCCCTTCTTCATTAGTGCACTCAATGTTTGAGCTAAGTCCGTTTTATCTCTTCCGCATGTCATGCATGGGTACGTCCTCTTTCTCCCCTTTGGTCTTACCTTCCTTCCTTGACCTCGCCTCACGTAATCGCCAAACAGCTCTAACAGCCTTAACATGCACATCCTGCATTCTCCTCACCGCCCTACTAGCATCGAACATCCAGCCAAAGTCGTACGTATGGGTGCCAACGGTTATCCCGGGGATCGTGCTGTTGCCTGCGGTCTATGCGTAAGTCCCTTCTTTCCTTCTCCCTCAGGCTCGCGCGATCTGATGGTGCGGCCTTTCACGTAGACTACTCCACCCCCTGCTCCGCCCGACGCAGTCACAGCACGTAGCCACTGAGCTCGCGTGGACCGTCACTGCGGTGCCCTTCCTAACCAGTACGTCCTTCTCCTCCGTACCTCACGCACGTCGCAGACATACCTTAATTCATTGAATGTCGCAGGCGCCGCAATATTCGTATCGGGAATATCCCCCGTCCACGCCAACCCGGAAACCTTCATCCTCTTCCACGTCCTCCAAATCCTCACCTGGGCGCTCTTCGGCATAGGTGCGCTCCTCCCATCCTTCCACTATCCCTCCCATCCTTCCACTATCCCTCCCATCCTTCCACTATCCCTCCCTTCTCTTCCTTATCCCTCTGCTTACCCACGTCACCCAGTGACCCTCTACGCGACCACCCTAACAACCCTCACCCTCCTCACCCGGCTCACCATCGACCCCCTCGTCTGGACACGCGACCTCGCCGCCTCGCCCTCGCCCTTCCCCCTCGCCTACATCCTCCGCCGCCCCACTCCCGCGGAGTATCATAACCCGAACTTGTGGTCGAGCGCGACGAGCGAGGATATCAGGGGGTATTGCATGCCGGGCTGCGCGTGCGACCGGAAATGCCAGTCTGAGGTCGGCGCCGAGCGGTGTCCAAGGGCAGAGGGTGGCTGCGAGGGAAGGCGCGCGAGCGAGGTGCCGATCCGCGTCCCAAGCGCCATTGAGCGGGTGAATAGCATACAAGTGGGGCTGAGGACGTATGTGTAGTACGCAAACCCCTGTGCCCCCGTTCGAGTCTTGGGTTGCTGCCAGATCCGGGATCGTGTTGTGCTTTCCGGCCCTCGATTTTGAATGCCTGTGCTGTATTTATTCCGTGCGGCTCGTCTGTTAGCGGTGGCCACCTTGGCGCAGACGGGATAACCCCTCAATGAAGTATGCACCGTTTCTCATTGCGCCTTAGAGGACCCTTATACCGCACTAATGTGTGTATACGGGGAGTGATTAGTATGCTATCAACGCTCACCTGACTCCGCACGCTGGATGCATCTTTCTCGAACATACCCAGTGTCATCCTCCAGCGCCAGTGTACGCTTGATTTAGGGTCCGAAGCCCGCGAGCGCCCGCTTCCCTCTACTTCTAGCCACATTTGGGTGCGTTACTGCTCCGCTTGTCGGAGGTCTGGAGACACAGCTCTGATCATGAAGAGTTCCCAGTGTTTGATATATCCCTAGGATACATCTTTCGCGCACAGCCCACTCCTCGCTACCAGCCGTACAGACCATCCTCCTGTTTGTAGAAGCAGAACTCCCCCGAACACGAAGGGCAACACAAACAAAAGGAGGCATGCGGTAGAGGGCAATTTCGGATACCTCGAGTTTACCAAATATCGACCCCCGTTTATCCCGGATCCGATCAGAGCGTCTCACGGTCGGAGTCCAATCATGAATTTAAACAGCTTTGTGTTCATGCGTTTTGTTCGTTCTGTTCCGTGCTCTGATTCTGAACGATGTTTCCCATGAAACGCATCTACACATACGCTACGTTCCAGCTAACTTCTCTGACGCTTGGTTCTCAAGTTAAATACGCCCTTGCAACTGCGCAGCCTTGACATCGTCGGGTTCTTCTAATTTTCGGCTCTTCAACGACAGCCTGAGAACACTGTAATCGCAAATTTAGCACCGATAGCACCGGGTAGCTAAAAGATGGGATTGAATTCCAGCTACGTCGTCCCTTTCTTATCTGTTTTTCACTACCATCCGCTCTCAGTCACGAGATGTTCACCCAAATAACATTTCGAGAACTCGGGAGTTACGTGCATTCTCACCACCACCCTGCTTCCCTCCCATATCCACTCAAAGTAGTATCTCTGCGTGCCAGCGGCGGCAAGGTTTACGGAATGGGTACGCTGCTTTGCGTCCCTGCCGTGCCTTTAGTCATTGAATCACTTAGAATACATCCCTCTCTCGCTTTCTTGTTCGGTGAGACCAAGTCACCTGTCTCCCCTTGTGTTCTCCCTGACCTTGGACAACTCAGCGACCATATGCATCACACAGTTACACTCGTGCGACAGTAAGTTGATGGCGGCAGAGTCAAAGCCTAGTACCAGCAGCGATTCACGGACGCACGGTGCCCGTCCGGATGCCTGACGCTAATTTACGAGTTATAGTACTCGGACAGGGCTAATCTTGTGTGCATCATTTGCCTCGGCCCACGCCATGACATTGTTGCGAGCTCTTCGTTGAGTCTCTATCGAGAGTATGCGTGGACCTGGGCTCAGGCCGCGACATGGTCTCGGTGCAATGACGTCGCGGAATGGCGATATTATTATCGATGCATACTCGCGATGGCTCCTTTGATATTCCACCCTGGCCGGACGATGAAGTCAAGTTCCCCAGATTGCATACTTGGACGACTGGTGACCCATTCCGCAGCATCTCGCGCGACACGATGCAGAGATTCCGTCTTCATTTCCGCACCTGCCCACCCATATAAACTTCTATGGCTACCGATAGCGCAGCAATATCCGATCATCGACCACAGTCTGCATAGAAGTTTGGCCACGCCTCAACCGCGAGGCATCCTCAGGGTCGCACATAAGCTGGGATGTCTTGCAGGATACCTGCCAGTGTGCAGAAAGCCATAGTTTACAGATCGCCTCTCAACATTGCTCTCGCTCATGGGAGTCTCGCAGTCAGCCAGCCAACCGGCCGAGGGACGTCGCACGCTGCCCACGTCCCAAGGTCGGTTGGACGCCTGGATCGCGGATGTGACAGCGGAAGCACTATCCATACGCTCCGACAGGCTACTCTGCGCAAACGTGGAGGCCGTCGAGCGCAGGCATTGTCGCAAAGAAGGCTTAATGGCGTGTAGTAAATGTAAACTTGTATCCTACTGTTCTCAGGTAAGCAGCGATAATGAACCTGGTGTTGCGGTCGCGTGAGGGTGATGCATTGTTAGGCTTGTCAAAGACAACATTGGCCCCTCCATAAAAGAGGTCTGCTGAACCGCTCTCATAGCTGATTGGCGAGGTTAGCTGACACCTTATCATTAGACTGCAAAGATCCGCTCATGGCAAGCGATTGGAAGCCTGCTTGGGAGCGCGAGCGTCGGCTGCCATCCTTTATCTCCTCAGGCAAGGAGGGGCCGGGATGGAATATTCGGGCACAAGGGCCATTAATGATGGCGCGCCATCTGTATTGCATCATCTAGATCGTTATGCTCCTGCGTTAACTCTGAATTCGCAGATGGGGAAATATGCCAGCTGTAGATTTGGTCAATCTTGACAAGAACGAGAAGGATCATGGCACCGACCTTACGTTGGCTTGCGTGGGTGAGCAATCTTGCATACCTTGCATTTTCCAGCACGTTATATTGCTGTAGCTTCCGGAGACCTCAGGAACGTGGTGCAAACAGTGAATAACCTCCCGGAAGACTACGCAGGGCACATGACGGTCGTTCTCAACGACCGCGATCCTGTGGTTACGATCCGCACCTTAATCCTCCTTTGCCTCTTGGGTACCATCGATGACGACGTTACTGCGGCCGAACTCGCCCTCCATTTTTGGTACTCCGTATTCCTTCCTATCCAATACAGCGTCCGAATCAAACACACTGTCAAGCCGCTCATCGAGCAGATTCTGTCGCGGCTGTCCGAATGCCGGCTTCCTTTCGGGAGCACGTCTAGCATGTCCTTTGACGTTTCCGAGGAGATAGGTTGCTGCATCGTAGAGATGCTGTCCTCAACATACTCTTTGGAGGATGCAAGTACTGAGTATCGGCGTGTTCGGTACGTGGCCTTAGCACTAGCCTTTTGATGCGTCACTCGTAGAAATATTGAACCCCGGTCTCGTAGATATGCAGAGTCAGGGAAAGATTACCATGATCGTGCGTACTGTCTATATGAGCCTGCACATCGCGTCGCTTTGCAAGAATATCGGTTGTTCGGCCTGGTTCTCCCTTTCGGGGCCCTCAACGCCCATTTCAACTGGCCTAATCGGTCTCTGTTTTCCCCCGATTGTTGCTGGTTGCAAAATGACCACGTAACGCCTCTGGAATCATGGGAGTACGTATCCTCCAACCTCGATGTGCCGTCCTGACTATCATTTACAGCTTGCGGTCCGTTGTCGAAGGCGGCAGAAGACATGGCGCACAGCGAGAAGATATCTTCGGATGTCTGTACTTCTTTCTAACCGACCAACTGCGCAGATTCGCCCGCCGTCTTCGGCAGTTCAACATCTCTTTCCATGTGTTCAACCGCGACGTCCGAGAGCTGGCGGAGAACATCAGGTCGGGAGCTCTCGCCAGCTCTGGAATGTTGCCCTGTACTTCCTTTGACCGGATCGAAGTTTCAAACATAATGGACATTGAATACGTTGGTGTCCGTCGAGCTCTCGAAGACTGGGGTCCGCTTTTGAGGGATAATAAAACCTCGGCTATTATCGCATACTTTATGAACTGGCGCACTCGGCAAAAAGGAGGGGACCCTGCGACGGCTGGCGAGCACGTCATTCTTTCTCTCATGAAACGTTTGAAAGAGCAGAACAGGGTATTATTCATGTCCTGCTCAACTCTATTTTTACTGACTTCGACTTGAGTTGCCATTTCCCAGTGCTCAAGGTATACGGTTTACGATTTACCGTTGCATTTCAGCCAGCTAACTGGATGCTCACACCATCTACGGACAGACTCGTTACAGAGTAACATGAAAAGCCTAGGTTTTTTCATGATCATGCAGTACCTGGATCCGGTATACAACAATTGGGTCCCATTCAGAAAATTCCTAAGAGAGCAGGGTACGGACGACGTGCTCAAGAAGATGGGCCTTCGAATGAAGGGGACGCATACTATAGTTCCTCACGTAAGTATGCGATCCAGACCGCCGCATCCTGCCGAAGTACTTACCAGATTACACAGAGGAACCGAGCACCATTGGAAGGTGCTCCAAATGCACTCCCAGTGTTCCCAGACGATGAGAGCTGGTATCTGGACGTATGTTGCATAGTGACTGATTGTGGCCGGCCTAATCACTGCCCTTACAAAGGTACGACTAGGTCAACTAGCCTGGTCAGAGCGTTATGTGGAATTTTCGCGTTGATGGGCCCGCGACAGACGTGGAAGAGGGCATTTCCTTGGGGAGCCGTCCGCCGCGTTGATGGAAGCAGCGAGGAGCGAAGTAGGAAACATGGTATGCCATTCAGTTCAGGGTAGAGATTCTGGGATATGTTGTTGGATTTCTTCGTCTAGTATTGCCACGATCGCATGCATCCACAGCCATTGATAGTAATCCGTCGTTTCAACACGTCACGGCCGGATATAAAGGCGATGGCCAATGGAGACTATAAGAAGTATTAATCAGATGAGAAAGGATCAGAGATTGCTTCCACGGGGGGATGGCGGATCCGAGTCGTAAAATGAGGGTGTAACCACCTTAACATCCCCAGTGACCCACACACCTTTAGGCTTAAGTACATGGACAATCTGAATGATCGGAAGCTTGCTGTGCCAGCTAACATTGGGAATGAATAATAGCCCGCTCGCCAATGCTCTACGAAACAATCAAAGATGTTACAAACTACAAACAAATACAACTCCTCTTCTCCATTCGGATACAACGTTTCAGGAATACATCGGACTGCAGATACACTGTGTGATCGATAACGAGAGAAAGTTGGGACAGCTGAAAAAAGTATAAAGAGGAACAACGAAGGTGCCAGGCGAACAACGAAGAGATGTCGCGCTTCGAAAGAAGAAATAACAATAAAGTTCAAGCCAAGAGCCCCAAAGGAATATATGTCATCGGAAGTCGGATTATGGAGGGAGCGTAATGCCGCAGGGGTTAATACGTAGGTGGTAGGATTCGAGTATGTGTGGATGTAGGGTGAGGGAATTTGTACGGGGATATTCGGAGGGTTCGCAAAGCCGTGAATATAGCTACACTCGTGCGGGATAATCTGAAGAGCGCGAAGAGTATTAGTCGCAGAAGAGTAATACGAAGGCACGCGCGCGAACTCACACAATGCATGTCTCGTCTGTAGTACGTAAGATCTCGCGCCGCTCAGGCGACGACGCAGTAGGAGAACGCGCCCCTCCCGGAAGACTCCTCCTCAACTGGGACGGAGCTCTCCATCTCCTCGACCGAAGCCTCAGCCGGGAAAGCGATCGCGATGGTGCTGATGGAGTCCATTTCTTTCTTCACTGAGCGTCAATGCGGGTAGAAGACGAAAGGTGTCGCTTCCGCTGGAGTGAAGTAGAGCTAGGATGCTGTAGCTGGACGTCGCTTGGTGGAAATCCATGGCTCCCCGAGCTGCTTTTATACCGTCGCGAAAGCCCCCTTCCGAGTGGCCCGACGCCACGAGCGATATTGTCATCGTCCGCACATTCCATAATCATCTCGGGCAGCGTTACTACCCAGGACGTCAATATCACAATAACGCACTCGCAATTGTCTTACCTTCGTCCCGAAGCCAGATTGACCGCGTTCGCATGCGCACTTACGGATCCGGCCATTCGAGGCAGTGATGCATCGGTGGTACGTGTACCACTGTCACAGGCATCCTGCCAGACAATAACACAGCCGGGATGTGGCTTGGGATAGGAACGGAACTTCACAATAACGTCAGGTACGTCGGGGAAAACGAGGCGCCCACAACGTCGGCTTCGATTCCGGCGGTGGCTGTGCGGTGGAGCTATTTATGGTAGTGTGGCTGGTATTTGCGCTCAACGTCGCATTGCGGTCCTAACGGAACCAGAGATGATGTAGTTCCAGCCGGGGAGATGTGGTGGACACCTGGAGGATAAGAGAAGCTATTGAGTGAACAGTGCTATCCCAGGTGGTCGGATGGGCCGGACGGGGGCCATGATTGCCGCCACACTGGCATCACTGGTCCTGTCTCTTCGCTAGCAAATACAGCGTGGAACAAAAGAGAACGAACCTCGAGCTCTTCGGTACCGATAACCAAGAGCGTCTCGGCTGCGAAGCCTAAGAGACGTACACCGTCAGGTGTATCGCATTCGGCCATCGTACCGTCCTAGAAATAACCTGATGAAGCGGGATAGACGGACTTCGTCATTGTGTCTGGAAATACACGCCGGGGGAAAGGGACCTGCTAGCCTGGGGACCGAATGAATATGAGCGCATGTTACGCAAGAGGCGTGTGCCACACGATGGATCTATCATGCAAGGCACAGTGAACAATAGCGTCTTCATGCTGAACGCGGCCTCACCTAGACATTACTGCGTACAGGGCAGTCAGCATGGGTACGTGGATGAGTCAGCCAGCACTTTACTGTATGAGGACAAAAGTAAGAACATCGCCACGAAAGTATGGTGTGGTGGGGTTACTGTACTCCGAGGTACAACTGTGCCTATCGCGCTGTGAGTCTAGACATCCTTCGCCAACAGGACATTTGTCATAGCACGACAATTCTGTACTGCTGTATCCTGGCACAACGAGCAACACCTCGGAGAATCTTTACCTCTACGAGTTCGCCTGGTGCGCGGTATAACCGGGGTGCTATGCAAGCTCGGGCATGCTGTCCGCCACAATGTTTCGGAGGTGCCATTGCCGGGAGGACCATGCCCGTTAAATGATATATGGACTCTGAGTGACCTTAGATAGCAAGAACAATAGAGAACGATACGCTGGGTATTTCCACCTACAGCCACACGCTGGTACTCTTGTTCTCCCTCCCCTTCCCGATGGCTCGAGCAAAGGGGCCCGTTCGCGCAATAGACATGCCCGCCTTCATCCTTGGGATCGTACATTGATAGATTTCGCAGGACCCCTCCACTTTAGCGAGGCTCGCTAGGGCATCATAACAATCTAGGAGGTATGGGTGCGCGGTGCTCCCGCTATAGGAGCTGCTACTCACCACCGGACAAGTGCCTAGGAAACCACCGAAACGTAAGGACGTTTCCGTTGACCCACATACGCTCACCAGATACCACGTTGAAGACGCGAGGTACTACGGACTGTGCACCGCGCATCCCCAACACAGGTTCAGTGGTCTAAGGTGCGCCGCAGGGTATCGCGTTATCACCAGCCGGAGACGTATTCGCCCGCGACCACGGTGAACGCCATATCCTACTCGCAACTACGAGACCTCCGAGCGCTGCACCGCTAATAATGTTACATTCAAATCCTGATCCATGGTTACACCGTAAGTATCCGCTCATCGCTCATGGAAGAGCACCCGCAAACGGCGTGATGACCGTCTTCTCCTTGTCCCACTGCACAACGTGATACATCAGTAAGCTGTTCAGAGACCTCGAGCATGTTCTTGACACTCACGACGTTCGAGGTCCAATAGATGTCGCTCTCGACGAGCTTCTTCACTTCATCGATGCTCGATGCCTGTACGAACAGCGTCGACCCGATGAGCTTCTTGGTCTCCGAATGCTCAGTGGCGGGGTCAATCAGTGCGCCACCGATCTCTGCGTTGAACGTTCGGTACTCGCAGATCACAACGAGGTAGCTGACACGCACTGATAATCCCCTTATCGACTAATGCCTTCGCATTCTCCAGGTGCTTCGGCCTCACTTCCAGCCTCCTTGCATACGCGCCCTCGTCCGTATAGTCAGGAGCGTACACAAAGTAGTTCTGAGTCGACATTTTCCTGGCTGCGATAGACGATGACGGGAAGAACGAGAGAGGGAACGCAGGGTTGCGCGATTTATAGATGGAACGCGTGAGGACCGAGCACGATGAGCGGATCATTGCGAGCCTTGCCCGCAACAATCTGGGGTATAAGGCTATCGGCCTCGGAGGTACATTTTAGGAGGTTCAGGAAGGTTCAGGATGACTGAGCCTGCGTCGGTCGTCCCCGGGGACCGGCCCGGGTCCGGGAGTCCACGTGCTTGTCCGAATGTGGTATTTGTTTCTCCGTGGACCGCATTGGTTAGTCAGTCTGAACGTCTGACCACCTCTTGAATCCGCGACTTGACATAACTGCTATGTCGGCAACACACGCTTTATCCAGGGCGTCGCGAATGAGTCCTGTCTCTCTGCCGAAGGCGTTCCTCTCTGGATGTCGACGAGCGCGATGTCGAACGTATTACGCTGCTTTGCACCGAAGTCAAGATGCTGTCCCAAATCACAGACGGTATTTCTCGTCGAGCAGACTATCTCTAGCGGCTCTCGCGATCCATCCTCCTTCCCAGCCGACTGTGCTACTGGACATGCCCTCTCCAGAAGCTATAGAGCAAGAAGAGCTGGACGTGGAGCTCATACCGAAGCAGGAAGCAAGCGTTAGCATCACCGATCGCGCTGCAGAGGTGTTTTCTCTGTCCCCCATTCCAATAAGCTGCAGAATCTGACGACACGTCTTTGAAAGCAATTGCGGTCGATAGCCGCGCGGGAGAACAACCCCGACGCTGCGTTACGAATCGCGGTCGAGTCGGGCGGGTGTCATGGGTATCAGTACAAGATGGAGCTCGCGAAGAGCCGAAATCCTGACGACTAGTACGCGCACTACTTCCTTTGTTCACACCTAATCGTTAACTCATGGTCCCTCCGACGTCCTATTAAAAAGCCATTTCACCCATCCCACTATCCGCCCGGCTAACATCCTCATCGACGCCGTATCCCTCTCTCTCCTGAAAGGGTCGACAGTGGACTTCGCCACCGAATTGATTGGCAGCAGCTTCCGGATAGTGGACAACCCGCAGGCGAAGGGAAGCGGGTGCGGGTGCGGGGTCAGCTGGGAGCTGAAGGAGTGATTGCCAGTGACCAGTTTTGAATGGGAAGTCAGTCTTTGGCCAACGACTCCCCAGTTCGTTCAATTGTGTGCAGTAGGTAATGTACTATGATATACGTTTCAATGTAATCCTGTCAGATCCTTCATCTCGGTCTCATCACGCACTTGCCAGGCCTGGACCGTACGTTGCTGCTACAACGGTCTGCCATATCTAATAACATGGGGCACCACATTTTCTTCCAGCCGATCTTCCACTATTGCTTCTCCGTCAGCTGATAATAGCAAGAATCCTGTGAAATCGAGGTGTGACGGGCGAACGCGGTGTGGCAATCCCTTCGTGCAGCTTGCGGCTCCAGAAGATGTGCCTCCCTCATTATCTCCTAGGTATAAATGCCTACGATGGGCATTTCTAGCATCCCGGATTGTGAATCCCACTAACATACAGGAGACAACATGAATACATGGTTAGTTAGCTTCCAGTAGTACATTAATCCGAGTCCTCTGATATCAGTAACGGAACACTCCTATGTCGTGTAGGCGCAGAAAACAGAAGGCAATAAATAGATGACGAAGCACAGAGTCGCTAGAGATGCAATCACACTGCGACTTTAGATGTCCCCGGTAATCATAAATAAAGAGCGTAACGTCCTCGACCGACTCTAATCCTGTTTTTCCTTATCTTGTGGCTGCTGGGCCTCCTGTGCGTAATTCTCCGGATTTCCGAATAGGAACACGCCGGTCATCAGCACAGCCTGTGAGCGGCATCAGTGCATCAGTGATCGACAGAATGCGGTGCATGGGAGAGTGACGACGCACGCAGAAGGTGATTATGGCGAGGCAAGGTAGTATGCCGACGAAATCTAGTGAAGAGGCCAGTCAGGGCTCCGTGGAATGTCGTTCGCTCATCGCACTCACCAATGTCAGCGCCTACGCGATCGGAAATGAGTTGTGAGTATTTCGTGGCGCCGGAAGTAAGTATGGCAGAGACGCACCGAACCCTGGGGGTGCCCCTGGCAGGGTCGACCGCAGCTGCGTGAACGCGAATAGGGTGGCCACGGGCAGCACGAGGACAGTGGAGGACATGGGTCTGTGCAGGAACACGACGGCAATGCAGGTCGAGAGGAACGTCAGCGTTACCAGCCCTGAGGATGCGTCGAAGTTAGTAGCGATCTATAACGAGCGATCCAGACGTACAGATGGCGATGACTATTGCTATGGCGTAGACGCGGATGGCTGGTCCGCGAGTGATGACTAAGTTTGTGTATAGCGAGCCGTCGCCAGCATAGCTGCTAGACGAGTCGAGCTCCGCATTGAACCCGCTATATAGATACGTTAGCACCGCTAAGGAAGGCGCCATGATGTGGAAACACTCACACGGCAATTCCGTAAGTGTTGGCGATACCGACTTGAGGGAAGGTGACGTTGTCCGGTAGACTGGCGAACATGAATATCGATGCGTTGTATCTGTGCATAGCATGTCGGTTGAATATACGCGTACAGGTGTTGAACAATAGAGATGTACTTCTCGAAAGGATACGACTGCGCCGTCCGGCCAGGGACGGAGAGAAGAGCGATTTCGGTTCGGAAGTACTGGGAGTTGGAAAAGTTGTCGTCAGAGCATGTCTCTGTGGTGTTCAACACGAACACCGGTGTCGACGGACGGTTGTTGTCAGGTGGAGACGGATTAGACGACGAGGAAGAGCGGAGCAGGTTTCTGATTAGATGGGAAAATACTCTCAGGCAAGGTACATGCATGGTGACGCACTCGCTACTCACTCGTCAAAGTAAAGACTGATAGTAGTGTTGGGGTACTGCGAACAAGCAGCATCCACTATATCAATGTACCAGTCGACCGTCATACTTTGTGCATCCGAGGATATAGCAATGAGGGTTGCATCTAGAGTTACCTAAGAGAATCGTGAGTGTCGGGCTAAAGGCCTAATGAGAGTGGTTCCGTACCATGTCATTTGTAGTCGCCACGGCATCCTGGAAAGGCTTCAAACGCAGTATGCTGATGACCAGGCACAGTACGACAGAGATGAGGCATATAGCAAGCCAGTGCCTTTGACACCACTTCCAAGTCTTTTCCCAGGACCTCCGAAGTCGACCACTTGCCGGCGGTGTGGACTCCATGACATGGGCAACACTGAGTGTAGCCCCAGACGACCCGAGTGTCCCGGTCTCCTTCGCGGTTTCCACGTTATTGACAGTGTCGGAGGTGTTACGCGTTGTTGCTGAACCCCCGGATACGTGCTGAGCGAGGAAGGGAGGGGTCACCGGACTTGCTCCAATCATAGGAACACTCGAGGGCGAGGGCTGCGTCTGAAGGAGAGCAACGTTACCGAGATCAATGACAGAATATGGGTCAAAGTGAGTCTCTGTGTCGCTCGCGTCTCTGGAGGGCTGCAGCTGCCCAGACATTTGAGACTCGCCACCGGTAGGAACGCTCCCTGTTGTCGCACTCATGTCGAGCTAGAGATGGTCCAGAAATTTCTTGGGTGCTTTCACCCTGAAGGCAAGGGAGAGCTGGAAAGTGAAAATGGTTGCTCGTCTCCCGAGAGAGTATTTAGCCGAAATCCTCCCAGCGTATTTGATGCTAGACGCCGCCAGGACCCAATAGAGTTCGTACTAACAAGAACGCATCTAGCGCCCAGGTACGTTGCATCGACCAGAGGTCTAGTCAATCTTCGTGAGCCATCATCAGTAATGCATCACGATGGACTCAGACCAGGCTCCAATACTGATAGCACTGACTGCGCGTTTCGTGCCGTAGGCAGTCGGTCGATAGACGACATTTTATCTCGTGTCCTTCAGGTGCGTATCTCGGTAGTTCTCGTAGGATGCACGATAATACATGTACATTGCAGTGCAAGCATTTCAGTGGTATGGAAACGCCATCAGGCTATGTTGCTTCCCACGCTCCTTTACTACAAGCGCCCGTTCATACGTGATATTACATACACCCACCAACACAAGGGACTTGCAGAGGCCAAAGCTAGATATGCGCATGATACCGTCATTCAACGGCAGAAAGCATCTGCCTTGCAGCTGTTCCTGTCAACTCAGACGGTCTTTCGTAGATTCAGAAAGGCCTTTGATCTGTTGTCTTCTCTCGCACAGCATCCGTCCGAACAGCCGATGAAGATGGAGATGAGTCCCGGGATTCGCGCGCCTGCAGGGCAATTCATGACACTGCTGCACACATGACGGCTATTTCCTACGCCATCTCCCATATTCAGCCATACCTGGCTCGCGATTGTACTGTGTACACCGACGGCATTCTGATACTAACAAACCGGAAGTACTATCAGGTGACCTGTGGTGTATCACTTGTTTACTGGATATTGTAAGGGATCTTTTTATGGGATAATTCTAATCAACAACCCCCCCTGGGAGCAACAACCCGTCAGCAACCCATGTCATTATCCAGCAACCCCGGTTGTCCATCAGCGGTCACATGTGTCATCATACTCTATCAGTCTGCATTACATCCGGTTACTTGCACTTCACTCTATGTACATAGCTACATATGAAAACATTAGGCTGAGGCTCTTGCAGTCAAGGCTACTAAGGTTGGGTGCAGGTGCCACTGTGGTATTCAACCCGGGGGTTGCTTGGGTGGGGGTACGGCGCTTGGACCGTCCACACCGTGCCATCCCGCGACCCGCGGCACCGGGTATACGGGTTTGTGGTTCTCGCAGATGGGTCGCAGTTTTCACCTAAAATGGTGATATTTGGACTTACAAAGTGTCCCAGCCCAGTCGGTAAGTGTTTCTCGATGCCTCTGTACCGGTAGTGTTGCTGGTATCAGCAAATTGACCTGTGACTGTAGTGGCTGGCCCTGATTCTGGTTATTTCAGCACATCTACAATCACATTACTAGCCAAATATGTGTGAGGTACCAGTACTAGGAACTCGTCTACTGATAGGGCAGTGACAGAAGCAACAAAAACATATCATCTATAGTAAATCAGTTCTGGGTTGGCCGACGTGTGAGTGCCTGCTACGATCAAAACACCCTTTCACGATCACATGTGTTTCACACACGCATGTAGAACCGCAAAAGACACCACAACCATGCACATCTCATTCTCAAATTCTTCACGATCACTTATTATCCACGCATTGCTACCTCACCACCCATACACCGTTTTACATTAATAACAGCTGGTTTCTGCATTCTATTAAATACACATGTAAACCATACTATTAACACATGTATAAGTATATTTGGATATCTTGCAATATATAAGCCAAGATAGCAAAGGTTTCAGACCTTAGCTTCAATCTGGCATTTCATCTCTTGTCATTAGATTGAAGCTCTCCCTCCATCTTCGTGTCGACATTGTTGATATTCCCCCATAACCTACTCTCACCGTGGCACCTGTAACAAGGAGCCGAACACGGTACTCCCTCCGATCCCATCCATCCTACACCACCTACATTTATCCCATATCCGAACCCCTATTCTATCCTATCACACCCTATGCCCCAAGACAAGTTCAAGAATGACAGCTGAAGGCTATCAGGCGCTACAGACGGCACCTAGATAGAAACACAATCCTTTATTACTGATCGTTTGAATCCTACGCCTGTACTTAAGGGTGGTGCGTATGCACTAAGCTGGGCAAAAACCTACATGCATAGCGCGGGCTGTGGACACAGGGACTACCATATCCCCATCGGTTGCAGTGTTCGTAGGGAAGTAGTGGCACCGTAGTGACTTTTAAAAGTCAGCAAAAGTCGTGTCAGGGAGCTTAGAAAAGCAGCAATATCCTACCTTGAGTACAGAAGCTCCTGGGCTTGTGACCCTTGAGCGAAAAGGCAGATGCCGGGTACCAGACGAGAAGACCCGGGTCAGACAGCCTTGCAACCATTCCCATTCCTACCCATCAGCCTCGACACCTACCCAGGATCTGCGAACTAAGTAGCAGATTTTGGTTCTTCCAACGAAGTTCCCATCACGGCTGATCACCGTTACCAGATCGATGATGAAATATTTCGGTTCGGAACACCCAGAGCATACTCACCCATTTCATATCCCACCACCCCATGTTCACCCCAGTCAGAAGCCTCTGACGAGATCTACCCACCCAATCTAAACCCCATAACCATCCAAGGTTTGATTACCAAAGCAATGGCAGGCGAAGATGATCAGAAGGAAAGGAAAGGGCACATCGCAAAGCCCGAGTACTTTGACGGAAACAAGACCAAGTTCAAGGCTTGGTGGAGACAGGTGCTCACATACCTGAGAAATAACAAAAAAGACTTCATCATGATCACGGACGATGAAAAAATCGATTATGTTATATCATACCTCAGAGGACCTAAAGCGGAAGTCTGGTCACAGAATTATTACGACCAGTATTTCAAGGACGACACAGAGAGTTGGGAGAAGACATGGGCGACCTTCGAAACAGAGATCACCGATGCCTTCCAAGATTCGAATCTTGCTGCACAGGCGCAGATCAAGATTGACCACCTGCACCAAGGACAAAGGCCGGTGGAGGAATATTTTCAAGAGCTGGAGATACTGATGACCCAAGCCGGGTATAAAAAGGAGGATCAGTATATTCTGAAAACCGTCCGCACCAGCGTCAACGATGCACTCGTCGACAAAGTCTACGGACAAGTCACGGTGCCAATGACGTATGATGGATGGAAGAGCATCCTGATAAAACTCAACAATACCTGGAGGGAACGACAGCAGGAGAAGGCTATGCGGGGCCTAAGAACAATACCGCCTAAGAGAGAAGGAGCGCCAGTGCCTAACGTCACAAATCAGATGCAGGCCACGCAAAGAGCACAACCGCCACAGAGACGTGATGGGATGGGAATGTCGTTCATGGGACCAGGACAACCCATGGACGTAGACCGGGCGTGCCTTAAGTGCAAAGCCAAGCAGTCGGAAGCACGTGGCATATTCCCAACAGGAAGGGGAGAACCACGAGCCAAGTTAGACAGGTGGATTGGACAAAGCCAACGTCCGATTTCATCACGGCAATCAAGGAGTGGTCAAGGAGGGACCCTGAAGGGTTCAAAGCGGCGGGTTTTGGCTTAGGCACAGCTTGAACGCACCAAGCTCCCTGCCCCTAAATTCTCATAACAAATATTCTGCGGTAGTCATAGAAGAACCAACTCCGGACAGTATTTATATTCAGAATGCATCTATGAACTTCTATAAAAAAACTTGAATCGAAAGTAGCACAGGATGTATTTAATGCTACAAAACCAATCAAACAGGCAGAGGAGTCTTCTCAGAAGCTCGGCAGGGCCTTAAAACCTGTGCTTAATTCCTCAAATAAAAACCAAACATATTCGGAAAAAGATCGAGTGCGACAATCACCAAAACCAAAAACAAAAGACACTCCTATTTTCTCTGAAGGACCTGAATTATTCAAGGTCGTGTGAGGGCTTAAAAATGGCATGCAAATGGATTTGCCGTTAACCCTTACACAATTCGAAACGGAAAAGAAAAGGGACGTGGTAGCGCTTCTAGACACCGGATGCACGGGTTCTTGTATCAACGAGAACACTGTCGCGAAACTCGGTCTAGAGCGTCACCGTTTTGAAACAGATATACCAGCATTTAATGCAGATGGGACCATAAATGCAGCTGGTAATATTACCGAATATGTACGAGTAAAAGGCTGAATTGGGGACCATGAGGAAATCCTTAACTTGTTAATCACGAACATCGGCAAGTCAGACGTATTTCTCGGTTTCGAATGGCTAGACTTCCATAACCCCGAAATTGATTGGCATAACCAATTATTGGAGTTCACGCGTTGTCCACTGCGCTGCGCAGAAATGCAGAATTCCCACCATAACAACCAAGTCAAGATCGAGGAGGAAGACTCAGTATTTATGATTGACCCCAATACTTGGATCAGACAGAAAACCCAAAATAAACCAGAATACGCCCATTATTTATCTACAAACATGCTGCGAGCCACTGCTTTGGATATTGCTATTGAGGCCAATAAATCAAAAAAGGCAAAAACATTCGAAGAATTGGTCCCAGAACAGTACTGTTGATAAGCCTCAGGATCGTCTGACCCCCAAAAACGAGGACTCAGCACATCATACAAGCCCCCCGGAGCTTACTCAACATAGCGCTCACACGCCTCTAGGCTTCTATGGGCTCTAAAAGAATTTTTCTATTTAGCTCCGGACTTCCTAGCATCCCGAGACGTACACGGACCCATTCCGCGATTTATCTCCGCAAACGTGAGCTCCGGGGTGACTTAACCTATGCAACTTTTAGATGAATTAGCTCCGGGGCCCGCGGACACTTCTATCGAGGGGCGTCATCCTCATGCCCACCCTCCAGCACACTCCCCCTCTCGTTTCCATCAAACTACCGAAGGTGCGGACGCATAAGAGTCACCATGAGGCCAGCATCAGTCAGCAAGCGGCCGGAGGTAATTAGCACGTGACCGGGGCGTCGCACGGAGTGATGGGACTGCTTGGATCAGGTGGCGGAGCGTCGAGGCGACCTCTAGGGGCTGGGACGAGCAAGTAGGAGTGCAAGGGAGTCGTATGGTGCGTGATATAATGGAGGCAAGTGCTGAGCAATCCTGTGGGTAGCGGCGTTTATTTGTTATTTATCTCTGGACGATCGCAAAGCCATTCCTGTAGTATAAATTGTACAAAGTAGCGTACAGAAAAACAAGTTTCGACTTCACCATCTCAGAGAATTAGTTGTTACGATCTCAGCGACCCTCAAAGTTTGAAAGTGTCAAACTTAGCGAATTATAACTGATCCTAGCTTTGCCAATAGGCCTGACTCGTCGGGTGATTTATCTCCGCCGTTGATTTTATTATCTCCAGTGAGTCCTACATAGTGAAATAAAATTAACCAAGTCTCTCTAGCAATTTCTACCACCGCGGGCACGATCCTACGACAGGTGTCGTTGCTTGCGACTTTTCGGAGATAAATACTCTGGAGCGTCAACTAGCATTTGTTTCAGGTGTCAAATTGTTTGTTTTATTTTTCTAGGTCTTCCTACGGACTACCCTACAGCGTCTTACTCCTCCTTTCCCCCTCGAACTATTAAA